TTATAAGATTATTTAAGCTGCCAAAATAAAATAAAAGATAGTCTGTTTTTGCACTATGATATTCGAACAATGAAGAATAAACTCCAAGAAATACCCATTATATAACACCAAATCCCTATAATCTAAGCGAAATAAATTTGCTTACCTTCTTAGCCCATAGCATAATTCTAGTCCATGAGACTAGCTGTAGTCTCTATTACTTGGCTCACTATTCTTTCTTATTATCAACACTAATCAATCTTCAGGGCACAACTAACTAGTAAGTGCAGGGAACTTCCATTTTTCCTTAAAAATGTTAAGATGCAGACTCCATTGTTGATATTTGGGTGATAAACTTTGTCTTGATAGAAACTTTGGGTTAGCTTGAATGGGTAATCAGGAGGAAAGTTGAATGGATATCAAGAAATACACCTCCCAAGCATAATAGGCTGTCCGTATGGGTGCTTGAGTTTTGCCTGATTCGCATTGTTAATTAGATATTTAAATTATGTTCAAATGCCATTGTCATTGATATATGGTCTACAAAAAAAAAATATATTACATTTAGATAACTATGACTTTGCTTCTTTTTTTGTTTTTCTAAAACTATCATCTATCTCCTTAAAAAAGAACTATATCTTAAGTAATTATCTTTAATTAATGATTATATAGCTTATAACATTTTTCTTTTTTCTAATATATTTCATTGGGCCAACTTTTAAGTATTATTTTACAAAGCGTGCTGTATCAGTTGACATTTAGTGATCAGCTTACTACGGATAGCTCGTGGGCTTAAGTTTTTTGGGTCCTAAGTGCGTAGTCTAGCCCCATGGAAAACGGGTCGTGCAAGGTCACAATTTTTGTAGGTTAGTAGGCAGATAGGTCACAAAGTTTTTTTTGCCAGCAATAGTTTTATTCCAGTCGAAATGATATGAGCAGATCAATAAAACCGAAACATTTTGTCAGCTGAGATTCATTATCTAATCCCGTTAATACCTCAAACATCAAAACATACGAAATTCCCGAAAATGGGCTTCATTAAGAGAAGAAATGAAATAGACAAGGCTTTTTTTTTTAGGACAAATCAAACTATGCACTGTAAATAATAAAATTGGTTCTCTCTCATGATATACTACAAGTGAATGCAATGAAAATACGGATATTTCGATTCCATGATTTAATTTCTGCGTTCTATCTGAGTCTATATATACTTTCCAAGGTCTGCTAATCGCTAGACGCCTAATCTTTCAATTTGCATGGAATTAACAAAAATTCCTCAAACCCTTCCCGCTCTGTTTTAGGCATAACATTTTTTTGAATTCCAATGTGTATCATATATTTGGAAGCATGGAGGTTTTAAATTTGAAATAAATTCTCGTTTATCATTTGATCTTCTAAATGAAGTCTCAATACGTGTACATGAATATCTACTCTGTTGGTATCATGACCATACAAGGGAGAAATAATGACAAATCTAAGAGGAGAATTATTCACGTATATTGACTATTTGATATTAAAGGGAGGGTAAGATATGTGGTTCAATCTCAAAATGAGATTGGATAATTGCCAAACATCTAAAAAAGGTCTTATTGGATTTGAACGTAAGCTCTATAAACTTCTTAATGATGCCATGATTGCGACATTGACTCAAATACAGTAAGTTTCCACTGCCTGCAACATGAACCGTTAATCTGACGCCTGTATCAATCTCGGAAGTCAATAGATGTAATAGGTTGGGAATGGAATCAAAAAAAATCATTTGATGCGATTCAAGGTATTTTAAATCAATAAACCCAATCCGATTCATGCTCCGTAGCCGCACTCGTATAAATATGTGTGCGCAGTATGTGTAAAACCCTAATTTTGAGTGCTTGCTTCTCTTCTTCTTTCTCAGTTAAATTAATCTTGCATTTCCCTCATATTATCACACAAGTATGCCTTTAAATCTCTTAAAACCCTTTTGCTCCAATATGTCTGAAACATACCTTCCTAGTCTATTTAGTCTTATTGCAATACTAATTAGTCTTTATCATTTATTTGCCTCCCTTCTAATTGCATATTCCAACGTTACTATTCCTTTCTGAAAACAGGAGTCTAATCAGTAATCATGCAGGACAAGTATTTGTATATTACTTGTATTTGGCATTAATACATTTTTCTTATCTGTTTCTTTTTTTTTTTCCTTCGAATCGAGCTCACAATCCTAGATAACCTATCAAGAGGGAAAATACAATAAATAAGGCTTATTTTACTTAAAAGAATAATTGGATAATTGGCTCATTTTACTTAACAATTATGTTAGGAATGTCAACATAAAATAAAATAACGTATTTGGATTGAAATTTAACAATACTATTCTCAAATGTTGGAATTGGCGTTCATCACCAACAACTACTGCTCGTCACTACCGGCCCCAGCCACCACCCTACTGCTCAACCACCTCAACCACCACCACTCACCAACCATCTGCTCCACACCATTCACACCTATACCTCCAAGCCAACGCAACCACTACCACCTCAACCACCAACGCCTCCACCCCCACCACCACCAACTCTCACCACCCCGTCGCTCCCACCACATCACCACCATCTCACTATCCGCTTCCACACCATTAATGCTCCCACACCGCCTCCGCTCAACACCACCACCACTAAACCACCAATCCGCACGCACTATCACCACTGCCAACCACCCCATAATTGATCCATCACCTCACCCCACCAATTGCTTTCCTCCAGCCTCAACAACCACTCATACTGCTCCACCACACACCTAACACGTCAACTACCAAACCACACTTGCTCCAAATCTCTACGCTGCAACCACCCATCGTACCTACCTTCAATAACCATTCATCACTATGCTTACACCAATCCATCACCAGCTCAACCCACCAGCATCACTCACTAGCTGCTCCACCACCCATTCATCACCACCCTCAGACAACCAATCACTTGTTTTGCTGTCACAACCACCTCAATCAACCTACCACCACCACACCACCACATAATAAAAATTATATTTGTGTTTAAATATGTCAGACACCAAAAAAATATGGGCATACAGTTTGTATGAAAGACCCTAAATATTTTAAGTTGTATCTTGTCATTCTTCTCAGTTACGAATTAGATTCTTGCGCAGTTCTCCTCATGATTCCCGCACAGTATTTCGTCGCTTAAAACTTTAAACTCTTAAAACCCTTTTGCTCCAAGTATGTTGCCAAAAACATCCAACCTAAATCCTATACTCATTACTCCAATTCCAGTTTCACTCAACAGACAAAACCCGGAAACCCCAATTCTAATTTTTACAGCTTTGAATGCCAGACTCCAACACAACAAAAAACCACAAATTTGAGTCACATTTTTCTCAATTTCGCTGCAAATTTTCATTGGCCACTTTTAAGTGTTGTTTTAAAAGTGTGCGTGTAAATATATAGTCTTTGACTATTTGGAGCTACACTTTTATGCTATTTATCAAAATCCGACATGGAAAATGCCTTTAGATTTTTTAAATTTTTGCTTATTTTTTTATCATATTGAAATCAAATAAACAAAAAAAAAAAAAAAAAAAAAAAAAGGTTGAGATCAATCCATAATTTGCATAATCTTTTTTCATGGTAATAAATAATTTTTTTTTCAAAAAAAAAAGGGAGTATTAAACAATTGATTTCATTAATTAAGAAAATTTAAGTTTCGGTCTACAATTAAGCAAATTGAGATTAATATTTATTTATACAATGAGAACATGAATGAAGTAGAAAAAGTGTAGGAAATGAGAGAGAAGAATTGAAAAATGAGAGCATTAAACATTTACGAGCCAATCTACATGTATAAAAGAGAATTTATTTTGTAATAATTTGATTGTTATTTTAAAAAATTTTTATAAAAAAAATGGAATTTACGCACTATTCACATTTTTGGTGAAAAATTATTTACAATGATTAATTATAAATTTGATAGCATTGTCCTTATAACTATTAACAAAATTTTTGAATGTGCATAAGGTAATATGCTATATTTAATCAAACTCAAATTCAAATTCATAATACAATAAACAAGAGATAAGAATATACAAAAGAATATTTTGAATCTCAAATAATATGATTATTATTAATTAAAATAATTTTAATTATTGTTATTCAAAAATCAAACTTTTTCAAATTAGTAACATAACTTTTTAAAATTACTACTTTTGCTCTAAACTTTCTAAATAGTGGCATTCTTCCTAGTGGAGTCTTTACTAGCTTGGTCGCCTTATTGCCCAAAGTTCCTTCTCTAGAAACAATTACCTAATTCAGGGCCATAAGTCTCTGTAATGTCAGTTTTAACATTCTATCTAAGGCTCTTACCAATATGATGTGACAAGTCCTTCCTCATTTAGTCCCTATATTTCAGAGTAGCTTTATTTATGGTCGATAACTGCACCATTATCCATTCTATGCATAGTAAATCTACGTTTATGGGCTGGATGGTTCTTAAAATCAATCCGGAAAAAAGGGTATGATCAACTTTGATGGACTTTCATAGATGAATGTCTTAAACTTGTAAGCTTTTCCACTCACTGGAGAAATTTGATTTCACAATGCCTCCATGCTGAAATTTGATTTCACAATGCCTCCATGCTTGTTTTATGAAGATCTTATGGAATGGTAAAGCTTCTGACCATTTTACTCCTTCTAAAGGTGTTAGACAAGGAGATCCAGTCTCTTCCTACCTTTTTCTTTTGGCGATTGAGAGATTGGGGCACATTATTCGAATCCTGTCAGTAATGATTCCTGGAAGCATATTCACTCATCTAGAAGAGGTCCGACCTTGTCCCACCTATTCTTTATAGATGAGCTCTTACTTTTAGTTGAAGTCTCTCTTGATTAGATTAATGTTGTTAAGATTTGTTTAGACCTTTTTGTTCCATGTCGGGAGAAAAGGTTAATTATGCCAAATCTTTTGTCATGTTTTCTCAGATAATGTCCCCCTTTTACGAGATAACATATGTCAAAGCTCGGGCATGATAGAAAAATGAATGTAGATTTTGGTCCTCTACTTGCTCGTATTGATAAACATCTTGCAGGTTGGAAGATGGGTGTTCCTTCCTTTGCTGGTCGTCTGACATTAGCAAAGTTTGTGCTTATAGCTTTGTGGAATCATATTATGTAGGTTCTTCCTTTACCCAAACCTCTGTATGATAATTTTGATAAAAAGGTAAGGGATTTCCTATGGGGCTATAACTCTTAGCAAAAGAAGAAAATTCGTTTGATCAATTGGGAGAAGGTAACTATACCAATGTCCAAAGGGGGCTTGGGATCCACTCTTTTCGGGCTATAAATGAAGCTTTCTTAGCGAAGTTAGGCTGGCGCCTGGTTTTGAAATTTAAATATATGAAGGTTTGAAACCATGTTGATGCTTTTGGACATGTTTAATGCTTCTTACATTTGGCGGGTTTAGCTAAAACAGTCCCTATCTTGCAGCAAGGTTTGATGAAAGTAGTGTATAGTGGTTTTAACCCTGCTTTTTGGATCGATAAGTGGCTTCTTCCTAGTGCCCTCAGAGATGTTGCTATCTATCCAATCCCAGCTAAGTAGATAGATGCTCTGGTGCATAATTATTAAGCTAATGGTTGTTGGAGATGGGACATTTTGACTCATTTCTTACCTCCTGCAATTTGTAAATTACTTAAGCTATTTTTCTTGATCACGACTCTTACATTTCAGATGCTCTTGGTTGGACTCAGACTCCCAGTGGAACTTTTTCCGTTTCCTTAGCTTATAAGATGGTGGAGAACAGGTCTCTCCCTCCTCAAACAGTGCCCTAGTATGGCCTTTGGAAGTTCAAAGTATTATAATGAGTTAGATGCTTCTTGTGGCTATTCCAAATTGATAAGCTAATGACCAACTCTGAAAGAATGCATCATGGTTTTGCTTCCTCAGATGACTACAAACTTTGTGGTGTAAGTAAAACCCTTGCACACCTTTTCCGTGATTGTTCTTTAGCAAAACAGGTTTGGCAGCTTGTCATGGATGCTAAGTCCTTTAATCAATCTATAACTTGCATTTAGATAGGTGGCTATCACAATGCACACAATGTTTTTTTCCTCTTTATCCTGATGTTCAAGAAGACCAAGTTTTCGCAGTTACTCTTTGGTGCTTATGGCGTTGGAGGAATTCTTTTGTGCTCCAAAATGATGTAACACCCATAGTTACTAAGTTGTATTCTTTAAAGTTCTAGGTTTTGACTAATTTACATGCTTGGAATGCTAGTATTAAAGCCAATCCTAAAGTCAAAAAGCAAGTAATCTGAGTGTCTTGGATGCCTCCTCCTCTAGGGTGGCACAAACTGAATGTGGATGGTGGTGGAGTCATTCATTGTGCTCAGAGGCGATGGTGTATGGGTTTCTTAGTAAGGCTGGGTATTTGCTCTTCCATGACTGCTAAATTGCAGGCTTTGTGCATGAGGCTTCAATATGCCTGAAACTGTGGGTATCGCAGATTGATAGTTGAAATGGACTCTCAAGTTAGTCTTCAGTTGGTCACTTCCCGCCATGAAATGCATATAAGATTCAAGAATATTCTGCAACTATGTTGGTCCTTAAATGGATAAGGACTGGACAATCAGGCTTCAGCATATGTATCGTGAGGGTAATGCAATGGCTGATAGGCTAGCCAACATGGCTGTGAGCTCTTCTTCCTAGAAGTCCCTTATTCAACAACCTCCTACCTCAGTCATGGACTATTTGCGTGTTGATTTTCAGGCTATGTATTGTCCACGTTTCATTAATTTTGCATAGGTTTCTTTGGGTATTCCCCTCCTTTGTATCCAAAACATTTCAATGGAATCGAATGGAATGAAATATTAAATTCAAAAAACATTTACAATGGAATCAAAATGAGTCATTACATTTCATACCGACCGAATTACATTACATTTCTTTGGAATGAATTCTATGAAATCAAATGTTCTATTAAAAATTTGCAGTAAATTTCAATTTTTGGAAAATATCTAAGTGAGTAAAGTATTTTGTGGACTCCCTCCCAAAACAAGGAGTGCAAAGAACAACAGATTTCAAAACAATCATGTAAGGTATTTCCCTAGAGGTATTGGCGTGCTTTGCCCAACTACTGCGAGTGCCCTCTGCTATTTTTTTTTTAAAATAGTTCCTCCCTTTTGTTAGAACTATTTAGTGCTTATTTTTATAAGCATCTCTTTTTGTTAGAACTAATAGTGCTTATCTTCTAATGGTTTTGGGTAGAACTTGTGCTCATTTCCAGCAGATGTACTCCTTTGTGCATGTAGGTTGGGATCTTTGGGTAGAACCTAATGGCTCTAGGTTTAGTCTCCTGCAATTTGGAAGATTTTCCTACTATCTATATTAATAATAAGTTCTAATTTGCTAATCAGGAAAAAAAAGGTCTCATGCCACTATTAGGACCAGCTTCTGACTAAGCAAGACTTGATTTAGTTAACATTTTTTTCCACACATACAAAAAGACTTGATTTAGTTAACATTTTTTCCACTCATACAAACCTGGTAAAAAAGAGAATTACTAAAACTCCAGCTTATAGAGCCATTCATATCTTTATGACCAAGAACAATAAATAAGCTCACCATCTTTAGAGAAAACAAAACATATATGTTCATATCGTTTCTTCATATTCTCCAATCTGTGGGAAAATGAAGAAATGTAAACAGTCTTGGCAACTCCTTATCAAATCCTAAAAACAGGAGATCCTCTTCATGATAATGTCAAAGACTTAAAAGCCCCATTCCATAGCCTGAAGCCTATGCAGCTATGAACAAAGACTAGTCAACATGCAACTAACCTCACTTATAAGTTAATTATACTTTCATTTCAAGATTTGTATGTAACTCCTAATTCTCCAATCTCTTGGTTCTTTGTTAGAACTCACCACAATTACTTTTATGGTGATCTAACACAAGCTCTCATCTAAATCTGTTCTTTTATGGTGATCTAACACAAGCTCTCATCTAAACCTATTTACACGCCAGTTCGATGTCCAGTCCGGTTTTAAAAACATTGTTCCATACATAATCATCGATATTTCCTTACCATAATGGATGACTATAGTCACCATATTTAGTTTTTTTTTTTTTTAGAATCTAAGAGACATGCTAGATCCTCTTTACAGTCCTTTTGCTCTTTCATTGAAATCCAATTCCATATGAAAATTAAGACTACCAAACAGTGACAATGGTCCTGAATTTAACATGCCATAATTTTACTCTTCTAAGGGAACCATACACCAAATCTCTGTGTTGCCACTTCGTAGCAAAATGGCCTTGTGGAATGCAAGCATCAACACATCTTGAATGTTGCTCGTGCTTTGCTTTTTGAATTCAATCTACCAAAGTTATATTGGTCCTATGCTATCATTTATGCCACTTATCTCATAAACAGACTTCCAACACTTATTCTTCATAACAAATCACGTTTTGAATTACTTTACCATACACCACCTTCCTATAATGATCTTAAGGTCTTTGGTTCTTTATGTTTTGCCAACATTCTTACTATTCATCGATCCAAATTTGACCTAAGAGACAAAAAATGTTTTTTCTTAGTTATAAACCTGGTATTAAAGGATTTATTCTTTTAGATCATCATTCTCATAATATTATCATTTCTAGAAACAAAAAATGTTTTTTCTTAGTTATAAACCTGGTATTAAAGGATTTATTCTTTTAGATCATCATTCTCATAATATTATCATTTCTAGAAATGTATTCTTTTATGAAAACATTTTTCCTCTTCATTCTTTTGATTCTACATCATCATCAGTTCCATCTTTAACACTAGATATAACTCTTATAAATATTGACAGCTTTATTTTTGCCTCTTCTTTTTTCTACGTAGCTCCCTGATTCTCATGGGTTTCAATCTCACATTTCTTCTCCTGACATCCTTGTTACAAACCTTATACCAGCCTCGTCTCATGTTTCAACTAGAACAGAAAACCACCGAGTTACTTGCGGAATTATGCTTATAATCTTTCTTTGGCTTCTGCTTTACAATTAGCTTCTAGTTTCGGTATTCTCTACACTTTATCTAAGTTTTCACTACTTCACATCTTTCTCCTTCTTGCTCCCACTATATTAATTCTATCACTATGGCTCAAGGACCCAAAAGTTACAATCGAGTTATTAAACATCAGTGTTGGAAAGAAGCTGTACTGGCAGAAATTGCCGCCCTTGAATAGAATAATACATGGTCTATTAATGATTTACCTCTTGGTAAAGTCCCCCATTGGATGCAAATGGGTCTTCAAAATTAGCTGATGGAAATGTAGAAAGGTATAAATCCCGTTTGGTTGTCAAGGGCTACACTCCAACTGAAGGTGTCAACTATTTTGATACCTTTAGTCCTGTGGCTAAAATAACTACAGTCAGGCTTCTTTTGTCTTTAGTAGCTGTCAAGTCATAACATATTCGGCAATTAGATGTAAATAATGCATTTTTACAAGGTAATCTTTCTGAAGAAGTGTATATGGTTTTACCTACTGGCTTTACTTCACCTAAGCCTAATCAAGTTTGTTGCTTGCAAAAATCATTGTATGGCCTTAAGCAAGCAAGCCGCTAATGGTTCTCCAAACTTTCTACAGCCTTGCAATCTTTAGGCTATCGTCATCCTCAATAAATGGTTCTCCAAACTTTCTACAGCCTTGCAATCTTTAGGCTATCGTCATCCTCAATATGATTACTCCTTATTCACTAAATCTTCTTCCAGCTCATCCACTGGGCTTTTGGGTTATGTCGATGACATCATCCTTGCTGGTACTGATATACATGAAATTGAACAGGCCAAGCATTACTTGAATACTACTTTCAAAATCAAAGACTTGGGTGAATTAAATTTTTTTCTTAGTTTGGAAGTTGCAAGATCTTCAATTGGAATTGCTCTTAATCAACGCAAATATTGTCTTGACGTTCTTCAAGATATTGGTCTTCTTCATTCTAAGCTAACTGCAACTCCAATGGACTCCAAGATAAAACTCAGCTCCTCTAATGGTTCTCCTCTCCCTAACATTTCTCTTTATCACAGGCTTATTGGAAGATTGTTGTATTCGAAATCAACTCGACCAGATATCACCTTTTTTGTTCAGCAGCTAAGTCAATTCCTTAAATGCCCTACCATCGTTCATCTGCAAGTTGCACATCACATCTTGCGATATCTTAAAAATTCTCCTAGTGCTGGTCTTTTCTTCCCATCATCTTCTTCATTGCAATTGAAAGCCTTCAGCGATTCTGTTTGGGCAGGCTGCCGAAATACACTAAAGTCAATTGTTGGTTATCTGATTTATCTTGGTTCATCTCTCATTTCATGAAAAGATAAGAAGCAATCGACCGTATCTCATTCTTCATATAAGGCAGAGTACAGGGCAGTTGTAGCCACTACTTGTGAAACTCAAACGAGTAAAGGTCTAAGGGGTCTATTGGCATATAGCTAAAAGCCAATAATGCATAAATTAGAATTGATTTAAATAAAAGTATTATTTAGTCGGTATGAAATGCAATAACCCTCATTTTGATTCTAAATATTTTTGGAATTTAAAATTTCATTTCATTCCATTTTATGAAAATTTTAATGCTTAGAATTGGCTTAGAATTGGATAATTCTAAATTTTTTAACGATAAATATAAATCTAGTTTACCATGATATATACCATGATATAAATTTTTAAATTTAATAAGTAATAACCTATTTAAATTAAGTTTAAGTATTAAAAATGTATTTAAATTGTAATAAAATAATAAAAATTAATATGTAGTACATACATACTATCATAAAGATATTGCAATTAATATGTCATAACATGAATTTATGGAATTAATTGTAGATACATCTGATATTGCAATTGCTTGAGGTACATACTATCATAATCGTAATGGTTGTAGTTATTATGGCCATTTATGGAATTCCATTGGTGATTGAAAGCTTACATCAAATTACTTAAAAATTGTTCAACCATTTCACCACTTCAAGGAGCTAGTTGGAAATGCACTCAAAAATTCTAGGGATGTCTAATTGGAACTCAATTAAAACTAGTAATTTCACTTGCCCAATTTCTTTTAGTAGTGTTATAAAATATAAAATTGAATTGAAAGGGTAGACGTAAATAATTGGGTAAGACTTAAGAGTTTAAAACCGATAAAGATAAAATCGATTAATATGGACTTATTTGGACTAGAAACAACTAGTGCTAAAAGTTAGTATTAACAATTAGCTTGCTAACTTTACACCCTTTACATATATGATATCTCACCAATGTTGGATTGTTAACATTTCCCTCTAGTGCACTTGAAATTTCCCTCTAGTGCACTTGAAACTGAACATTGTGTTGACACTTGAATGAGTCTTCTTCTCATTGGGAGTAAAAGTCCAAATGACAGTTGGGTCTCGTTTGAATGAGTCTATAAAAAATAAAGTTGATTACTGGACTTATTTAGGCTTGGGCTAATCAATACTAAAAGGTTTTTCTTTTGAAGGCTGGTATTAAAAGGATATTAATAAACTAACTAGCCAACTTTTTACTCTTATATAGGCCATTTATATATTTGGTATTTAGTTAATATGGAATTCGAAGAACCAAGAACCCTCGCCCGTGGATTTACTATTCCCTCGAGCAAGTCAGAGCGAGACCTTAGTGACTAGAATACCAGAGGATCTGAAAAGAGAAGTGGTAACAAAAGAAAAATAAAGAACTTGAGACTGTTATAGCACAATCGAGAGGGGAGGTTACATTGAGCTTTTAACAAAGGCTTTTCTTTTAAGAATATAATTTCATTAATATTAATAATGGCTAAAACTATAAAATATCCCCAACTATGTGACTTGTTGTAAAATCACCTTAAAATGACATTTGTATCATGGACACTCCCATTTGAAAACTTAAATGTATTGACACCCCTGTTTAATTTTTAAATTATAAAAGAATTAAAGTGATATTTTATATAAGACCTTCTGATTTACTTTAGGTTAGCTTAACCCAAGAACCAAAAACTCACCATTTTGGTATAGTTTCCTCTAACCCCAAAAGCACTCCCAAACCAATGCCCAGAAACCAATGCCGAGAAATCACAACTTTTAGCAGAAAGTAGCAAAATTATAAATTTCCTTATAAAAGTTTTTACCGTTTACTCTTTTCTATGTTTTTGTTAATTTTTTTATATAGAAAGAATAAGAATTTTTTGTAAAATAATAACATTTTTTTTGTATAATCTCGCGGATTGAGGTCACTAACCATTTCAGCCAACAACGTGTTGGTAATAATATTTTTTTATAATAAAGGTCACTAACCATTTCAGCCAACAACGTGTTGGTAATAATATTTTTTTATAATAAGTAATCTTAGCTAGTTAAATAATGACAAAGACAATAAAATAAAATAAATCATCAAACTTAGCCTCTCTTAAAATTTAATAATTGTTACAGTTTGAGTCTTAACCCAAAAAAAAAAAAGTAATACTTTTTTCCTACTATTCCAATTAATGGAATGCCTAATTTAAAAAACAAAAGACATAATTTATGACTCATTAAAGATAATACTAAAAATTTAAAAGGCCTATGAGCTTTGCTCTGAACCTATGATGCCATGAATCAGAGTTGACTCAAATATGATTAATCTTAATTCTCCAATTTTTGATTATGTTCTTAGTTATAGTTTACCTCAATGGTTTTTATAATGATGTCACATAGAATTTTCTCTAAACTCTTAAAACACTCTTATTCTCACATTATGTTTCCTTATAAAAAAAAATAACTAAACTTGATGATTTACTTTTTTACTAGAAATAAAAAATAAAATTTTTAGCGTCGGTTTTCCAATTGGTAAATTATGATATCCATTGGCTAAAAAGTAAATTAGCAAATCCCATCAAATCCATGTGAATTGAAATTCATGAACAGAAAACATATGTAATAATCGAATGGTCATTTGAATTCTTTGGAGTAATCACATGATTTGTTATTTTCATCATAAACAACAAGCACTCAGCAGCAAGAAGATATATGAAGCATACCTAACTTGTGTTTTTGGTCACTCGAGTCTTCATCTTATAGCTCAATCCACTTAATGATAGTTTTGTACATGCTCTTCAAGGATCTTCTACTATTGCTCACTTGTACATTGTATGTTTGGTTAGTTTTATGTAGGGTTGAGCATTCGGTGAATTCGGTAAATGAAATAAAATTTTTAATTGAAATTAATTAACAGAAATTTTGCGACTTAACCGAATGTAACCGAATTAATTTTTTAGCCGAACTTAACCGAACCGTCCTGACCAATTAATTTTGATCATTTATCAAACTGAAGTTAAAGAAAATTAAAATTTAAATAACTAGTTGAATTTAACTGAAATTTATGATTAATTGACTTTAATCGGATTTATTAATAACGGCTTAATCAAAATGATATAGTTTTGAGAGTCACTTAATTGGATTAATTCGGTTAAATTAAATTTTAACTGATCACTGAAATTTTAATTTTTTTAATCGAACTTTTAACCGAACGTTTATTCACCAAACCAAATTGATCAAATTAATTGAATTAATCGAATTGGCCGAACCGAATGCTTAGCCTCAGTTTTATGTGATATCCCAATGAATCATCTATGTCTCAATCATCTATGTCTCTACAATTGGGTCTTGGGATAATATTTGCACTTTCTTTAAAATGAAGATTTTCGTCTTAATTGTGTTTATGGTTGTCCCAATGATTTATGAATTCCTCTAATGTTGGATCTTGGGATTAGTTTTGGGCTTTCCTTTTCAAGTCGATGGCTTATGTCTTGTATTTATTTATTTATTTAATAAAACTTCGCTTATGGTAAATCAAGTTGAACTCAGCTTACTTTGATTTTGCTTCTCAAACTCATAACTTGAATGGACAGGTTAGGAAAAAGCATAGACTAAATTAATTAATTTTTACTAAATTGAAATGAAAAAATCAATTTTATTTAAAATTCAAAGAAAGGAAGGAAAGAAAGCAAAAGAAAACCTAACCTAAGAATGATTCGAGATTTAGATTCCATTTTCGGCAAAGACCAAGCTGGTAGAGAGCTTTTTATGTTCCTTTCTTCTTTCTTCTTATGTTTTTAGACGCCGAAAAAACAATCAAAAAATCATAATTTTCCATTAAGATTTTTAATTAGATTTTGTTATTAATCCTCTTAGTATTAATCTCTTAGTTACTGCTTAGTTCCTCTTTACTTAATCACAAACTATATAATATATATATATTACTATGATATATAGTTATCTATATATATATATATATATATAATCCTGAAGTAAAAATATGTGAGTTAGCAATCTTGAGAATTCTATTTTATCTTTTTTTAGAAATTTTTAGATTTTTTCTTCATTTTTCTATGTTTTGATTGGTGGTTATATTTTTTTAGTTTTAAAATTAATATTTAGACAATAACAATGTATTTTGAAATCTAATCTAATTTAACAAATATTTTATATTATTTGGTATTTGATTTTCATTTTCTAAAATTTAAAATTTTTTAAAAATAATTTGGCTTTTAAAAATTTTTAATTAGAATTTTTGGATTTTTCTCTTTATTTTTCTATGTTTTGATTGGATGATTATATTTTTTAATTTTAAAATTAGTATTTACATAATAGCAATATATTTTGAAATCTGATCTGATTTAAAAATTGTTTTATTTTATTTGCTATTTGGTTTTCTCTTTTTACTATTTATCATATATTTTATTCATTTTATATGGAAAGAAGTAATAAATAAAATAAAATATATCATTAATTTTATCATTAATTTTACCCTATGTTTAAAGAGTATTCTGTGAGATAAATTCTCTAAGCATAACTTTGTTGCAACAATTAGATTGTTCATTCGGATGATAGGCCATAACTTTCTTGCACCAATTAGATCGGTCATTTGAATGATATGAGTAAATAAAACTATAAATTGTGTTATATAAATGTTTGTATGGAAATGATATGAGTAAATAAAACTATAAATTGTGTTATATAAATGTTTGTATGGAAAGAGATAATGTTTTTTTCTTTGTAAAATAATAATATTTTTTTCAATAATAAATATTCTTAGCCAGTAATAATCTCAAATTCAAATAATATAAACTATCAAATTTAGGCTCTTTTAATTTAGAAAAGGAATAAAGCTCAATTTGGTTACTAAACTTGTTTAAAAGGATCAAAAAGGTTAGATTTGACCTTTTGGAGTAATTTTTAGATCTTGAACTTGTAAAATGATTAAAAAGATCCGATTTCATTGTTTAGGCCAATTTAACCATTCAACTTATTTTGAATTTTATAAATTAATAATTGATTTAACTT